AGGTCTGTGCGTCGTCTCTTCTCTCTCTGTCTGAGACGGTGTTTCTCTCTCTCTCGTCTCGTCTCTCTTCTCATCTTCTCTCTCTCTTGTTAGTCTCGCTTCTCTGCCCTATTTTCTCCTCTCCTCCGCTCTTCACTCTCTCTCTCGCTATCGCTCTTCGCTCTCGCTCCGCTCTCCGTTCTCTCTCTTCTCTCTCTCCTCTCTCTTCCTCTCTTCCCTTCTCCTCTCACTCTCTCTCCTCTTCTTCTTCTCATCTCTCTCTTCTTGTTTAAGTTTCGCTCTTCACTCTCCTCCTTCCCTTCTTTCCCTCTCTCCTCTCCCTCTCTCTCTCCTCCTTTCTTTTCTCTTTTCTCTTTCTGTCCTTGTTTTGGCTGCTCACTCTCGCCTCCCTCTCCCCCTCTTCGCTCGTCGTCCTCCTTTTCTCTCTCCCCTCTCTCACTCTATTCGTCTCCCGTTTCTTTTCCCTCTTCCATTCTCTTTTCTCTCCCATTCCTCTCTCCTTCTCCCCCCTCTTCTTCTCTCGCTTTTCTCTCTCTATCTCTCTCTCTCTCTCTTTTCTTACTCTCTCTTTACTCTTCTCTCTTACTCTCTCTCTCTTACTCTCTCTCTCTTACTCTCTCTCTCTTACTCTCTCTCTCTTACTCTCTCTCTCTTACTCTCTCTCTCTCTCTCTCTCTCTTCTCTCTCTCTCTCTATCTCTCTCTCTCTCTCTCACGCACACACAATCATCCCCCCGGTTTACCCCCCCCGCCTTTTACGCGCAACTAACACACCACACACACACACTTACACACATCACACACACACACACACCACACACACACATCACCACAACACCACACACCACAACAACACACACACACACACACACACACACGCACGCGCTACACACCTTTACCTCAAGACAATTTTACGTTTAACCCTTTCCAATTCTTCGAGACCCTCCCCCCCCCACCCCCATCTGCTGAATCTCTGACCGGCCCCCAAGAGGTCGTGGACCCCACGGCTTCGAGATTGACTCCTCTGCGGTCATGCGCACAAGGCGGCACTTCAGACTGGCTCCGATCCCTGCCGAATGTCATGGGGAGAGTTGCCAGGTGCGAATTCTTGTTTGGAGGCAGTGCATGGGATTGGTTTTTTGCGTTCGATCTATTCACGCCGTTTGGTTATTGTTATGATTTATCTATATTATTATTTTATTTTTTATTATCATCACCATAAGTGTTTTCTCTCTTTCTCTGTCTATATATTCTTCTCTCTCTTCCTCATACCCTTTTCTTTCCCTCCATTCCCTCCCTCCTTCCCTTCTTTCCTTTGTCCTCAATCTTCTTCCACTTACTTCCCTTTTCTCAACAATAATCCTCTCCCCCCATTCTTCCCTCTATCCTTGATCTTCTCTTTCTCCTTCCTTTCTTCCCTTTGTCCCATTCTCCCTCCACTTTCCCCCTGCCGCTCCTCCTTCCCTCCCCCCCTCCCTGCCTCTCCCTCCTCCCACTCCCTCCACCCCCCTCCCGCTCCCTCACTTCCCTCCTCCACAGAGAGCGCATCTGGGAAACGGTCTGCCTGCAAAATCTGATTCCCGCCAGTCTCTCTCTTCTCTGCTCTCTTCTCTCTCTCTCTCTCTCTCTCTTCTCTCTCTCTCTCTCTTCTCTCTCTCTCTCTCTCTTCTCTCTCTCTCTATTCTATCTTATATATCTATATATCAATATATCTATTATTATCTACTATCTATCTATCTATCTATCTATCTATCTATCTTATCTCTCTCTCTCTCTCTCTCTATCTATCTATCCTCGATCTATCTCTTCTTGCTCTCTATCACACACACACAAAAAAGATAAAATAAACAATAATAAAAAGCGGCTTTGCGCATTCGTACAACGCCTGCGGCAGTGTGGACTTGAGGGGGGGGGGGCGTTGTGGGATGCGTGGGGGGGCGGGTGTTTAGAAGGTGGGGTATTGTGTGTGTTTCGTGTGTGTGTGCGTGCTTGTGTGTCGTGGATCAATCCGAAGAGAGAGGAAAGCAAAGAATAATAAAAAATATCTATATATATTATATATATATATTTATAAGGACAAGAAAGCAAATAAGAAGAGAGTGAAAGGAGAAAGAGAGAAGAGGAACTAAGAAAGACACGACATAGATGGAAGCGTGAACGAAAGAGAGGGAAGAGAAGAAAGAGAGGAGAGGGAGATGGAGGAGAGAGGAGAGGGAGAAGGAGGAGAGGGAGGAGAGGGAGGATGAGAAGAAGAGGGAGGCGAAAGAGGAGAGAGAGAGAGGCGGAGAGAGGAGAGGGAGGTGAGAGGAGAGGAGAGAGACGTGAAGGGAGAAGGGGATGAAGAGAGGAGAGTGGAGTGAGAGGGAGGGAGAGAGGAGAGGGAGGAGGAGGAAGAGGGGAGAGTAGAGAGGGGGGAGAAGAAGGAGGAGAGGGAGAAGAGGGAGGAGAGAGGTAGAGGGGAGAAGGGGAGGAGAGGAGGAGAGAGAAGAGGGAGCGAGGGAGGAGAGAGGGGAGAGAGTGGGGAGAAGGGGAAGATGAGGGGGGAGGGAGAGAGGAGAAGAGGGAGCGAGGGAGAAAGAGGGGAGAGGGGTGAGAGGGGGGGGGAGGGGAGGAGACACCGGCACGCTCGCTTGGAAAATTATTATTGTTTGAGTGCCATTCCCGCCAGAGGTCGTCGAATTCGTCTTTCTCTGATCTTTTTAATTCAATTGTTTATGCAGCAACGGAACGGAGAAAAATAGGGAAGGAGGAAAAAACGTAAAAAAAAATAAACAACAAAAAACGGTGAATTTATTTGCTATTGGTTGTACTCTTTTAGATCTATTCTTTATCGATTTTTTTCATTATACTTCATATCGGTCGTCCGTCATCATCATCATCATCGTATCTCATGATAATCATGCCTCATCCTCATATCAAAAACCGTCATTATATGGGTCATGCCTCATACACACATCATCATTGACCCCCACCATCATCACCTGCTCATCGATAGTTGCTTATTAATCACCGTCTCATCAATCAATCAAATCATCACCATCCTCATCAATACACGATACCATCAATACACCTCATACATATCATCATCATCACAACACATCATGCATCATCATCATCATCACCAAACCAGCCATCACATACACTCACCATCATCAACCATCACAATATTGCCACTACACCATTTATTTCATAATCATCATCACTGTCATACCGATCCTATCCTTACCATCACCATCACCTATCTCAATCATGTACCTTATTCATTTCACATCCTAATCCTAATCACATCACCAATATCCCCATCTCATTCCTCACATCTTCATCGTCGTATCACATACCATCATCTTATCAGTCATCCTCATCCTCATCAATTCCTTCATTGCCCCTCTTATCCCTACAATTTAAAATCCTATCACAACCATTCATATCAAACATCAATCGTCACACCAATCAATCGTCACCTTCACATCCTCGCATCAACACTACATCATCCTCTTCATAATTCATCAATCAATATCAATCACCACTCATCGTCTCACCAATCCTCTTTAATTTTCCTTTGGGCATTTTAAAAGCACCTTTCTTTTGGTTCTTTAACTTGGTTTCTCTTTCAAAAAAGCCCAATCTTTGCTTCTTCCTCCTTTCCTCTTTTCTTTTGTTAGTGTTAAACACCACCCCCACACACCTACATCCAAACCTCTTTCTTTTTTTCGGCTTCCTTCTTTTCTTTTTCTTCTTCTTTCCGTTCTTCCCTCTTAACCTCCTTCTCTTCCTAATTCTTCTGGCTTTTAAATCTCCTCTTCCTCCTCCTTCTCTTTCTTTCACTGTTCATTCTTCTTCTCCTTCTCTCAGTTTTCTTCCCCTTTTCTTCTCTTTGTTATTTTCTTTTCCCTCTTCCTCATCTTCCTCTTTCTGTTACTCACTTTCTACTTGACCTCTTCTTCTTCATTCTTCTATTTCTCTCCTATTTTTACCTCTCCTTTCTCCTCCCTTTTCTTCCTTTTCTTTCTTTCTTCTCTCATTCCTCTTGCTTTCCCTCCCCGCTATTATTTTTACAACCTTCCCCTCTTTTCTTTCCTCAGCTCCTCCTGCCTTTTTTAATCTTCCATCCCCTTATCGCATTCTTCCATCTAACTTTTCCTTATCTTCGTCTTCCTTCTCGCTATTTTATTTCCTTTCTTCTCTCTCATCTTCCTTCTTTTTCTCGCTCCTTCTCTTTTATTTTCTTCCCTCCCCTTATCGCATCAAACAGCACTTATTCTTCTTCGCTTTCCGTTCCCTTTCGTCCTTCTTACCTACTTATCCTTCGCACTTAACCCTACTTAACACTTCATCGCCTCCCCCCCTCATCCCATCCGCTCACGTCGATGTCCGTCTTTCCTTTGTACTCTTTCTCTGTCTCTCTTTCTCTATCTCTCTTCCTC